AAAATGTGGTAAGTTTTCATTTAAAAAAAAATTGTTACTATGTTTATCTCGCAAGTATAAACATTTAATTAATATTTTTTTTAAATAGCATTTTTATAGCCAATGCACACCTATAAATTTAAAAAAATTGATACTTTCGTCAGAATAAAATCGTTTCCAGACTTTTGGACCATCCCTGTATTATACTGATCATTTATCATTTTATACTGAATTATTTACTACTACCCAAAAAAAAAATTATTTTTTTTTGTAATTAACTAGTTTTGGTGGGCAGGAATTTAAATTTTCCTGCGAGATCCCAGCAGTGGGAGCCAAGTTACCTGGATAATTGGTGAAGTTGCGATTATTTTTTTAATATCTAAAAGTCAAAACAATATTTAGCTTTCTAAGAAATTTCTGGGGCAACTTCCACGAATTCAAGGTATAAAAATATTAGCGAACTGATCATTTACTTTTATTACAATTTATTACAATTAAAATAGTTTTGAATCAATAAATATTTTGTATATTTATAAAATGCATAAACATATCTTTGTAAAACAATAAATAAAAAACCGTTTTAATTTAAGAAAAAATCATTAGTATGGTAATCTCAAAAGTTTAAACAATTAATTAAAATAAAAAATATTTTGGCATCGCTCCTTCACAGCCTTTAAACATTTATTAATTTATTTCCAAAAATACTGATAGTTTACTCAAATTTTTTTTTTTTATTTTTGTCAGTTAAACATTTTTTTAACAAAAAAGTGTGAGGTTTACAAAAAAATTAACAAGCTCGTTGTCTAAAAAAATGTGGTAGGTTTCCATTCAAAAAAATTGTTATTATGTTTTTTTCGTTAAGTATAAACATTTAATTATTCAATTTTTTTTTTGAATAACATTTTTATAGCCATTGCACACCTATAAATTTATTTGCCAAAAAAATTGATATTTTCGCCAGAATAAAATCGTTTCCAGACATTTGGACCATCCTGTATTATACTGACCATTTTTAATTTTTTACTGTGCAAAATTAATTCATTTTATAATGAATTATTCACTAGTACCCAAAAATTTTTTATTTATTTTTTGTAATTAACTAGTTTTGGTGGGCAGGAATTTTAATTTTCCTGCGAGCCAAGTTACCCGGATAATGGGTGAAGTTGCGATGGTGTGTCGGTGGTGAGCAGCGCAGGAGGCCTCTCCTGCGGCGCATACGATGTGAGCTGTTGCCAATATTGATCTAAGAGTAACCGCCGTCGCAGGACCAGTCGCAGGAGCGCGTTAGTTTAGCGTGTTCGTGTTTCCACTGTTCTGTCTTTCTTCGGCGTCTCAAAATTCCCATAATGTCAATTTAAGTGAAGTGTCGCACATTATTTTATTCGGTTTTTGACGCGGATGATGGACGACAACACATTAATCTATCCCAGGACGAATTATCCTTAAATTTTTTTCACGATGAAAAAGTACTAGTGGCGTACACCACCTGCAATAACGCGCACAGCAAGGGATTAAAACCTGAATTTCAGCACAGACTACGGTAATTTTACTGAAAATGGGTTCTTATCAGATTAGCATTTTAAACGTGGTTTTGACATGGTATCAGAATCAAGTCATTCAAAAATTAAACACTTACTCGTTTTAAATATTTGTAGCCAATTAACACGAATATTGCTTTTACTTGTATTAATTGTTAAATAATTTTTGATAATTACCGGGTCAAAGGTTAGATCAATGTCTAATTATTCTTTTTATGACTAGCATTTTTTTAATTAATAAAACTGGGCTGTTGGTTTGATATTTTTTAAGCTTTTGTAAGTAGGTAGTTCATGTGTTTTCAAGAGCTTTTCTAAATATTTATTCCAGGTTATTTTTAACTTATTCGAGTTGTGATATAGTTTCTTTTCTTCTGTAAAAATACCATTAAGTTTAATTTACTGGTAGGTTGATTGGGGGCTATGTTTTTCCATACATATTAAATATTTTATTAATTAAATCATTGGATAATTTTAGAAAGATAATAAACATAAAAACATCCAATTTAACGTACCATGCTGTTAAGATTTGCATAAATATTATCAGAAAGCTGCTGTGTAAAATTAACTTAATAGCATCTAACTCTGATGTATGTTTCCAGAAATAATAACGAAAAACTCTCCTTGGAATGTTTCTTGATGTAAAAGTGAGATTTTTGTTGTCTCTTGGGTCTAGTATTGTCAGGTGTGGTGAAATTTCACCAGATCTGGTGATTTGGTGAAAACTTTTGTAATTTTTTGGAAATGACAAAATCTGTTTTTTTGACCATTTTTCACGTTTTCAACCAGAAACTTGAATATTTCGTCAATTTTTTTTTTAAAAGCAGAACAACCCCCAAATTGGTTAAAAATAGTTATTGGTTTTTACAAGATTTTACTAAAGAGGATCGAAAATGACAATTTATTTTTGTCATTTTCTAATATTTTTTCAGCTAGAAACACAATTATTTCGTAAAGTTTCGTTAAAAACAAGCACAAAATTCAATAATTTCTTACAAGAACGGCGTTATTTTTGCGCTTTTCAAGTGTTTGAGATAAAAGCAAAAAAAATTGTAAAAATTTCGTTGAAGTAGTCAAAAAAATTACAAAATTAATTCGAAACTGATATTATTTTTAGCTTAATTTACTTCATTTTTGAACCAGAGACTTATTTATTTTGCAAAATCTTGACCAAGCACGCTTAATAATTACAAAAACAATTGATATTGGTGTTATTTTGTTTGTGTCACTCGATTTTTTAGCCAAATAAGACAAAAATTTGTTTTAAGCACGTTTTTGTACTACAATCTCAGATTTTTTGCGAGATTTCGTTAACACGAACTGAAAAATCAAGAAATTAAGTCTATAATTACATTATTTTTGCATTTCTCGACCGTTTTAGCACGTTTTCAGCTAGAAAGGCAATTATTTCGCAAAATTTTGTTAAAAACATACCAAAAAAACACAGAATTAAGCCGAAGATGATATACTTTTTTTTCCTTTTTTGAAGGTTCAAGCAAATTTTTAAGCTGAAAACTCTGTTTCTCTGTTTAAATTGTTAAAAAAGATTATATTATGATACTTTTACCTAACTCTAACTCTAACTTGATCATTTCACACTTTTAAAAATCACAAAAACGATTAATATTGATGTTATTTTGTTTGTTTAACTCGATTTAACTGATTTCTGAGCAAAAATAAGCTGAGAAACCACAAAATTTGGGCGAAAATGCTTTTAAGCATTTAGTTTTTCAAACTGAAAAATCAAGAAATTAAGTCTAGAATTACATTATTTTTGCATTTAACGAGCGATTTAGCACGTTTTTCAGCTTGAAGCGCAATTATTTCGCAAAAACAAGATTTAGGCCGAAAGTGATATAATTTTTTCCTTTTTCGAAGGTTTAAGCAAATTTTTAAGCTAAAAACTCTGTTTTTTGCGAGAGTAAGCGAAAGCGTGTCAAAAATCACTAAATTGTTATAAAAAAGATTAAAAAAAGAATTAATTTTGTTTGTTTTACTCGATGTAACTAATTTCTGAGCAAAATTAACACAAAAATAAGCTGAGAAACCACAACAAAATTTGGCCGAAAATGCTTTTAGCACGTTTTTGTACTAAAATCTCATGTTTTTCAAACTAAAAAATCAAGAAATTAAGTCTAGAATTACATTATTTTTGCATTTATCGAGCGTTTTAGCACGTTTTTCAGCTAGAAACGCAATTATTTTGCAAAATTTTGTTAAAAACATACCAAAAAAAAACACAGAATTAAGACTAAGATGATATAATTTTTTCCTTTTTTGAAGGTTCAAGCAAATTTTTCTCGAGCGTTTTAGCACGTTTTTCAATTCGAAACGCAATTATTTCGCAAAGTTTTGTCAAAAACAAGCCGAAAAATCATAACAATTAAGCCAAAAAGCATCCCATTTTTGCTTTTTCCAAGAGTTTGGGCAGATTTTTAAGCGTTTTTGCCATACAAATCGTAATCTGGTGAAAATTTGACAAATTTTTCAACTCGGATCTGGTGAATTTTATGATTTTTATCTGGCAACACTGCTTGGGTCAAAACAGGGATGATGGAAATCGCAAACGTAATAACTAACTATTTTTGTAAAATAAGATGTTTATTTTACTCGTTTTATTAGGGGGTGTGAAGGATTTTCCATTAGTAGATTAAAATACTCTGAATGAAACGAAAGTTATTAGTTTATTAATAGGAACGTGGTTACCGTACTCGTAAAACACGCTAATATAACATTATTTGTTGATAATAAAGCGTAATAATTGTAGTTGTTGGTTAATATTTAGTTAGAAGAACTAGAGATAAATTTGAACTTGGAAATCTTGATGTCTTTGACTAAATCAGTTACCTGCTTTGATTTGATGGAACTAGAGGTTTGGGTGTAACTGTTTTAGTTAAGAGCTGTTTAGGTAATTAGGACTTCCGGGATTATAATGTCCAGGGTGGAATACTAAACACTTGGGGTGTCAGAATCAGCTGCTAGCAAATGTCGGTGTCTAGATTTAACACTAATTTGCTTTAAATTTTAAATATAATTGAACAGATTTCAAAATTTAAAAAATATATTTCATGTTTTTGATTACATGTTGCAAATTCCATCGGATTTCAACATTTATGTAATTTTGTTGAATAATTTTAACTGGAACCTCGAAAATCGAAAAAATGTAAAAAACACATTACCCTCTTTATGGGTGTATATTTAATTGTGTATTTTTAGGAAGTGACAAAGCTACAAGTGTTGGACTATTTTCGAGTTTATTTTACGAGAGATTTATGTAAAATGTTCGATTGTTTCCTGCATCTGTTTAACATTTAGTGTGTTTCTGAGTGGAAATATAATTAGATTTCTTGGACTAAATTATAAATTGTTACAATTTGTTATTTGAAAATGTAAATTTAAAGAGTAGGATTGACGACACACGCCCTAAGTGTCGATATTCAAGTCAAGATCCTTACTTTTTGCATAATAATCACCTCTTGAAGTTTTAACGTCACCAAAGATTTACTTTTGTGATCTATTACAAATTGGAAACTCTTTCGTTTCAAAACGTAAGAAATTCGCATTTTTAAGAGTTAATTTTGTGAAGCAAATCTCTCTGGATAATTAATTAATGTGTTTTTCACGGCTTTATAACATTCCTGGCGGAATAATCAAGTTGGACACCCTGCAGGGACGGTGATTGGGAGTGTATTAATCGAATTTCAGATAGTCAACATGTCTTGAATTGGGTAAAGTGGACAATTATTTACCGAATAATCGATCATCGGCTAGTGATCATCCAAATTGCCTATCAAATATTAGTCAATTAAAATATTATTATTTGATGAATTGCATGACGATATTTGGTAATTAAACCAATCTTTGGTTAATTGCTGATTGATTAGTTCACGGAAACAAAGGCAGGAATTTCATTTACATTTGCAATAAATTTGTTAAAAATTTCATTTTAACCGCAAACGTCACAAAAGTGACCACTTTTATGATTAAATGTCACAAGTGAAAATTCTATTTTTGTGCCTAAGCATTTTTACCTTGACATTATTGACATTTTCCAATGTTGTTTCTATCTTTATCACGACATAAACTATAACTGTTACTCCTAATAACATAATATACTATCATCATTTATTAATAATTATTTTTGTATTTTTTCAGCTAGAAACACAATTATTTCGCAAAATTTTGATAAAAACAAGCAAAAAGGGCGTTAGTTTTGCGCTTTTCAAGTGTTTAAGCACGTGTTTGAGATAGAAGCAAAAAAAATTCTAAAAATTTCGTTGGAGCAGTGAAAAAAATTACAAAATTAAATCGAAATAGATATTATTTTTAGCTTGTTTCGTTCGAGTTGCTTCGTTTTTGAACCAGACATTCATTTATTTTGCAAAATCTTGTCCAAACACGCTTAAAAATCACAAAAACAATTATTTCGCAATAAACAAGATTTAGGCCGAAAATAATATAATTTTTTCTTTTTTGAAGGTTCAAGCAAATTTTTAAGCTAAAAACTCTTTTTTCGCGAGAGTTTGCAGTAGCGTGTCAAAAATCACTAAACTGTTATAAAAAAAGGATTAATTTTTTTTGTTTTACTAGATGATTTCTGACCAAAATTAAGACAAAAATAAGCTGAGAAACCACAAAATTTGTCTGAAAATGCTTTTAAGCACGTTTTTGTACTAAAATCTCATGTTTTTCAAACTAAAAAATCAAGAAATTAAGTCTACAATTGCATTTCTCGAGCGTTTTAGCACGTTTTTCAGTTAGAAACGCAATCATTTCGCAAAGTTTTGTTAAAAACAAGCCGAAACATCTCAGGATTAGGCCGAAAAGCATGCCATTTTTGCTTTGAGATTCTACAAATTTCATTGAAGCAGTCAAAAAAATTACAAAATTAAATTGAAATTGATATTATTTTTAGATTGATTTACTTCGTTTTTGAACCAGACTTATTTATTTTGCAAAATCTTGTCCAAACACGCTTAAAACCACAAAAACAATTGATATTGCTGTTATCTTGTTTGTTTCACTCGATTTTTGAGAAAAATAAGACAAAAATATATTTATAAACACGTTTTTGTACAACAATTTCAGATTTTTTGCTAGATGTCGTTAACACGAACTGAAAAATCAACAAATTAAGTCGAAAAGTTTTAGCACGTTTTTCAGCTAAAAACGCAATTATTTCGAAAAAAAACAAGAATTAGGTCGAAAATGATATGATTTTTTCTTTTTTCGAAGGTTCAAGCAAATTTTTAAGCTAAAAACTCTGTTTTTTCGCGAAAGTTTGCCAAAACGTGTCAAAAATCACTAATTTCTTATAAAGAAGATTAAAAAAAGAATTAATTTTGTTTGTTTCACTCGATGTAATTGATTTCTGAGCAAAATTAAGACAAAAATAATAATATAATATTCAAACTTAATCCCCTTAACAAAAAAAAAATAAATAAATAAATAAAGAAAAATGAAACATTGCGTTAAAGTTTAACTAAAATTAAGAAAACTATTTAAATAGAAATAAGAGGAATTGCAACAATAAGAAAATGACAAAAGCAACAGTAAAAAACTAGAAGTTCAAAAAATGTATTTTTATCTTTTTGCGAAAATTGTTCACTAAAAGTTTTTCTTTAATAAGCTGAGAAACCACAAAATTTAGCCGAAAATGTTTTTAAGCACGTTTTTGTACTAAAATCTCATGTTTTTCAAACTAAAAAATCAAAAAATTAAGTCTAGAATTACATTATTTTACTACTTTTACTCTTAATAACAAAATATACTCTCTTTTACCAATAATTAGAAAATACTGAAAAAGTTTTTCTGCTAGTATTTTTTTTTTGGCTTTTTAAAGGAGGCACTCAATCTCTGTCTTTGGAGTTTGGACAGAGATCGATCATGTGAAAGAAAATTTGCTTTGGAAAAATGCAATAAAGTGGAAAAACTTCGGTTCGGAAAAAAGCAGTAATAATATTTTTAAATGAGCACAATATAGAAGTTTTTAGATTTTAGATGCAGCAAAATTTTTGAAATTTGATTTTAAGAGTTTTTATTTCAGGTGAAAGGCTGCGCGAGGCAAGATGGGATGCTTCGGCAGCAAAGACAAGCTGTCCAAGGAAGATATGGATTTTTTGAAAAGCCACACTCGTTATGACGAAAGTACAATAAAAGAATGGTACAAAGGCTTTAAGGTGAGTTGGGTCATTTTATACCTGAAGTCATAATTACCACCAAAAGTAATGTTATTTAAACTTTTTAAGTGAAACTTTTTTATCGCCTCAAATTTTTTTGACCATCTATCGCATGTCGCATTACAGCCGGCCGCGGAGTAGCATTTATATTCTTACTCATTCGTTTTATAAAACCACACAATTAATTTTTTTCTTATTTTGGTTTTATTTTTCAACATTTGTTAAATAACATAAAAAAGTAAAAGTACAATTTTGGCTTTACGGTCATGAATGTTAATACTTTATTACAAAAAATTTAACAAAAAGCAACATTATTTTTTAATAAGATAATTGTTCAAAAATTATTCAATTCAACCTGTGGGGTGTGTTAAAAAATCACATGAAAAATTTATGAAATAGCAAATATTTGGAAACGTGTTGGTGTTAAGCAGTTTGATTACTTTTAAAACAAGGCGAGACAATAAATTTTAGGCTCTAAATTAAGAACATGATTCCACTACAATCAAAATAGCAAAATACATCTGTTTTGAGAACAATTATTTGTTTGAGAAGTTATTTTTGTGTACATTAAACATACATATTTCGAAATTTAAATTTTCCAGCTCTTTATTATTTTGCGCCCGAAAATTTGCTTAACAAAAACTAAAATAATTTCAAAACTACTTTGCTTTGTTCTAAATTTTTAAACCTTTTTTTTGGTCATGTTTCTTGGACCACATCAACACTTGTGATAAAATAACACAAACCCCTTGGGACATTACTCATCACAACATTGCTTCCGGTATTCATTTTTCAGTGGTCTCCAACCACTATTAGGTTATTACGACTATCAAGAGCGTCAAGTGTTCCAAGAATGTGCATTAATTTTCAACTATGAAATGTAATGTAATGTAATGTAATTGCCGACCACTTTGTAACGGGAAAATTAAAAATCAATTTTATCATTCCACCTAATAGAGATTTATTACCCATCAGATAAAAGGTTTTGTCACTTTTTTTCGTTTTTTCCTAACGTTTTACCAATAATAAATCGTACTATTAACATTAATGTATCTACCTTTGAAATTAATATACCCATTCTTTAATGGGTGTCACTTGAATAAAAACTTGAGTTTATTTATTATTCCATTACATAACTTTCATCAACAATGAAGGTTTGTAAATTGCAAAAAGTCATTTTTACATTGTGGACATTTAAATAAATTGTCGAATTCTTTCAAGTCAAAATTTTGTTTCTTATTTTACAAAGAACAATATTGAGAAATTCAAAATTATTTTTAAAATTTTACGACTTATTTATTATTTTCCTAGTGGCCATTTGCTATTGATTTATTTGTTAATTATTTGCCAAGTTAACTCTTCCCGACTTGAGTGGAAATATTGTATATTGCTGCTTCCTCCTTAGCAACGTGAATTTATAGCTCTCATTTTCAGCTGGGAATCTTTCAGGTCCCAGCGGGAGGGTTAGAGATAGGTAAAACCGACAGTTGTAAATGTAATTGTTTCCTTCCGCTACCTTTAACTGTCAGTCTTATACATAAATTTGGTCAAATTAGTCAAATTTAATGTGTATTTTCTTCCTTTCCACCACTATTCGAGACCATTTGTCACTTCAGATTCAGAATATTGCAGAATTCATTTACTATGTACACTTCAGCAGTTTTAAACATGTGTGGCTGAAATAATTGCCAATATGGCGGCGCCAACTGACCGTGTAGCATTTATATTTTTACTCATTTGTGTGTTTTGATCAGTGTATTGATCCGAAAAAAAGTTTCACTTGCATCGTGGTTTTTCTCATTTGCGAATAACCGAACAACCCTATTCCTGGCGTCCGAAATGAAAACGATTATGTTAGAAAAATGACTTACACTGTTTTAATAACGACTGGAAAACCGAGTAGGTAATTTAAAAACATGAGATTGAAGATTTTATTGCACAATTATGCCAGGTATAAGTATTATTTTATGTTCTTTGATGACATTTTTTAAATATTTCAAATAGTTTGCTTTGCTTTGGCCATTAAGCTAACTTTGCTATTAATTGCGGTATTAATTTTATGGCAATTTTATTCTTCTATTTGAGATGATAGTCAGTCATTGATTTTTATTATATTTGCACAACAATCATTAAATTTAATTACGTTGTGGTGAAAACGTTTATTTCACATTTGATGAGACGTTTTCATTACATTTGCTTAATTTGGGTTTTGACATTGGGGAAATTAAACACTTAAAAATAATTAAGTTTATTTCGAGTATATCCAATTTTGAAGCATTTAAATTTATATCAAAAGATTCTGTACTAATATTTTTGTACATTCAGAAATTTGTATGGTTAAAACACAGAAAGCAACAAAATTTGATGGTCTTTTTTTGAACAATAAAAAAAATGTGTCTACTTATGAATATTGAATATGTAGATAAATGAATGCGATATTTTTTTTCTTGCTCTATCCGAATGTTTATACTCCTAGTGTTTAAGATACCGAGGGTTTTGTTAATCGAAAAACTTAAGTTTGGGCTATAGCCTTAATCTTCACCAACTCAAATTGTAAACATATGATCTCTGAGGTTAGTTCTTCAAAATCTATTACATTGTTTTAAAAATAAATGAGTTAAAAGTAGCCAAAACAGGAACAGAAAAAAGTGTTCATATACAACGGTAAAAATTTTGCAACCATATTTTTTTTGAAGATACCGAATTTTATTACCTCAAGTGTCACTTCGGGATAAAGGCCTCAAAAGGTTTAAACCTCGTTTAAATTCCATTTTTTGACAATTATTTGGTGGAGGTTGCATTCTTTATATTTCAGAAATTATTCAGATAAGGCAAGTTTAGTTATTTCACATTATTTATTTGGAAGAAAGAAGTTTTTTTATTTATTGAATTTTTATCTTAAATAAATGTTAAACTATTCCTTTATCAACTCTTTTGAGTAGATAAAGTAGCACTTTAATCGCAAGGGTAGATAAAATGTTTTAACTTATTTTATTCGTTTTAAATTTACAAATTTTAACATCCAACGAGTCGAATACAACATATTATTCTTCGAATTAGTCTCAACAAGGTTTAAATTTGTTTCGTATTGGCAAATGCCAAAAATTGTAATTTTTGTTTATTTTTATTTCAAGTTGTGCTATAGAAAAAAATGTTGTATTATACACGACGATAAAGATTGTTTATCTACTCGTGACTTCGTCACTCGTGAACTTAAAATTTTCACTCGTAGATAAACAATCTCTTTATCGTCTTGTGTAATAAATAACTATTTATTTTGTACTCAATATTAAAGGGTACTTTTAACTAATTTCGGTGGATAAAATAGTCTTTTATTGTCTAGTGAAATACAGTAATTTTTATCTACTGTTTAGATTTAAGAAATTCTGGTAGGTGAGTATAAAGTAAAAGAAATATTATACACGACGATAAAGATTGTTTATCTACTTGTGAAAAAAGTCCACTCGCAAACTTAACCCTTTCACTCGTAGATAAACAATTTCTTTGTCGTCTTGTATAATAAATAACTATTTTTTTGCAAATATAAAATCTTTAATTTGTTTTGTTTATGCTATAAATGACGAGTCTGGAGTTTAACCATGGCGGAAATACATGATCATCAGAATGACATAAATTATGTTTTTATTATTTATTGTAACAGTTACTGGAAATTAAAAAAAAATGAATTGGGTAAAATAACATGAACTTGTTGCCTCTTGTTTTAGATAGAAAAAATCGTTGGAATGCACTCGAAAACAAAGAGATTAGTGAGAATTTGATAAAATATCCGCCTCATTGCCAAGGATTGTCATGTTATTATTTTAATGGTTATTTATGTCCCTGTTTGGAATACTTAAGCATTTAACTTAAATTATTATCTATTTCAAACAATATAATCACGTAGGACAGTAAAGTAAAATTGCTTATTGACACTACACCATGCATTATAAATAGAATTTTGTGTCACTTTTTATCACAAATATCTATTTGTGCTTCAACTGAATGTGATTCTGATTGTTACAAACTATTGTCTATCGCCACCAATGGCATTCAATGAGTTGGCAATACACAACAGTTATCCAGAGACGTCGTGGAATCCATTTACTTTGTATGCAGGATGGTTCGAAGAGATACTATTGTCTTAAGTTTTGCCTATTGGCTAGGAATGCTTTTAAAACGATTATTTCAACGAGATAACCGAGTTGGTTAATAGGCACTTAGCTTTTTTTTTAATTTGGTATCTACAAAATTAGAGAGGAAACGGAGACTTTAAATTACCAGCAAAATTATCCTGCAGGAGTTATGTCTTCCAGGCGGCCATTTATAAGAAATACCTAATTAAAGGAAGTAGTAGAAATGGGATGAAGGCTTTCAGAAATTTGCATAATGAACAGGATTTCGCCTTGGTTATGACGAATGGAGCAGTTTTGGGACTAAAATTGACTTTGATTTAAAGCTGTGCTATTTTTGTTGTCGAAATAGTGGAAAACAGGAACAATAATTTAGTTAAATGGTTAAAAAAGTGGCGAAATTATTGTTTTGCTGACGTCGTACTCCTGGATAATTGGCGAGGAAATAACTTAAATCCGTTTTATCTAAATATTTGCAGGGTTTTTAAGGCAAAAGATCGAATTGCAATAATAGATACCTAATAGTTAGTTACCTAACGGTGGGATTGTACAAATCCAAAAACTTAACAATAAAAGCATATAAGAAAATAAGTCTTTACCGAATTCATAAGAAATATTAGTAAATAAAAAKCTAAAAGACATCCTAAACATAAAAATAAAAGTTAATAAAAATCAAATTACTTGATTTAATCAAAACCCCCCTAAAAAAGACAAAGGAATCATAATCTAAAAATAAATTTTATCATAAAGTTCTAAAACTTTGAAAATAATCATTACCATGTCTACGAATTAAAGAAACCAAAATATTCACACACTGTAAAAGTTAAAAAAACTATAGAAAAAAATACTCATTTCCCAAAAATTTTAAATAAAGAAACAATGTTAAATAAATACAGAGTGAATATAAAGTATGGAACCAAGCGGTTTTATTTTTAATCATTTGCCTCCAAAAAATAATAATTAATATAAATTAAAGTAAAATAAAATATGTGATCGTATTTTCAGAACGAAATTTTGTTTTGTTTTTGAGTTATGCGATTTTTTTTTGTCAAAATTTCAATTTATGTGAAATTTTTTTTTTTGAAAAAAATAAATATAAAGCAGATAGTTGTAATCCTTAGAGTATGGCTTTTATGAAAGAAATGATTTTATAGTGGGTTGCCATTTAAAAAAATATTTTTTTTGTAGAACTCAAAAACAAAAGGAAATTTCGAAAAAGTTTATTCTTGTTAAATCATCACATTTTTATAGTACTTTATCACTCATCAATTAGTTTTTTCAAAAAATAAATAGTTTAAGCAAAAAACGTTTGGTTCCATACTTTTTATTCACCTGGTAGATAACACAATACATTCTAATCTTAAAAGTATGGATGATGGGTTTCAGGGCGACCCAAGACATTTTTTTTAAAGACAGAAAATTTTCAAGTAAGATAAGATACCTGGAACATGGTAAATGAAAATTTGACATTTTGATATTTGACATTTTTTTATGTCTATTTAATAATACTGATGATCTTGTATATGTTTTTATAGTTATTTAGTAAAGGTACAAAAGTTTTGTCAATAAAATAACATATAAAATAACATTGAACAGAGTTAGGATCCAGCTTCCTTGTTTCCTCTTCTAATAGCCTGTAGCAAGAAAACTTGTAAAATTATTTTTCCAACAGAAATAAATAGAGTCAAAGTGCAATATCTGAGTTTTTATTTCACTACAACTTTCCTCCACATGTGGATACTAAATTTAATAAAATTATTTCACCCAATTTTATTAAATTACAGAAAGAACAGTGCATCTTGGTGTGATCTTTGAAACGTAATGAGGTAAAAGCTTTCAGATCGTACAAAGCAGAAGATGAAAGGCACTATAATTAGGACAATGGTTTTATTAAATTAGGCAAAGTAGACGACTGATAATATAGTCTACACGCGGTCACTGTCAATATTTAATTCTCAAATTGTTCTGTGTTTAACAGCATTGCGAACAAGGATTCAGAATCTTGATTGATTGAAGCGACAAGGGAAGCATTTGTCTTATTACTCAAAGACAATGAATTATTATTAGACAAAAGCGACTTAAATTATCTATCTCTTGGGTTTTTCTCTTCTTTCTCACTATCCACTCTAACCTCGGGATTATCCCAGTAATCCATCATTTTTTTAGCGTGGTAATACAATGAAACCTCGAAAACTCAATTTGTGGGTTGATAGTTTTCCAATCATTTATTCCAAATTGTTTTCCCATATACACTGGTCGCCAGAATTAACCGGACAACTAAAATTTGCGATTTTTCACGTTTTTGTCGGATTTCGGCTTAAAGGACGAAGTTTTGTCTTGTAAATGTTATGAGAGCACTGTTTTTTACTTTTTTTATAGTGTGCAACAGAGACAAAATTAAGTTTTTACTTATTTCAGATTAATGCCTGTTTTTTTCTGAATGAGGACCAATTTTTTTCAAAATTTTATCTTCTGGTGCCTCAGAGATACAGAGCATTGAAAAAAACGTTGCTAATGTTACCAAATATTCGTTCAAAAAGTAACTACATAAAAAAGTAATTAAACCGAAAATTATTGCTTATGTCACCAAAAGAGCACAATTATGTCTTTGAACACAAAAAATCTGAAAAACTTGGAGCTTCAAAGGATTACAACAAGTAAAACGGTTAATTATTGGAAGCTTCCATGTGCCTATTTTGACGTTTTGGCACATTTGGCCTACTTAATACGAACATTCATTGAAATTCGAAAATTGCATTTTCGAGCATTTGTGGAACGTTTTTTTTTAACCGAAAATCCAAAATTGCGTTAAAAATACGTCGAAAAAACATTTTATTAGGTCGAAAATTCTGCTTTTTTCAGAGTTTTAGCACGCTTTCCAGCCAGAAATTAAATTATTTTGCAAAATTATTTCAGAAATTGTATTGGTTTTGTCTTTTTTGAGTGGTTTACGGCCAATAATACGTTTATTTTGCAAAACTAGGTACGTTAACAATAAACCAAAAACCCATTTCATTGTGTCGAAAATTTCATTATTTTTGCATTTTTCAAAGGCATGTTTTTCAGCAAGAAAAGCAATTATTAGGCAAAATTATGTCAAAAATAAGTCCCAAAACGACTCCATTCTGTCAAACATTACATAATTTTTTAGCTAGAAACTGACTTATTTTGCAATATTATTTCAAAAATTACGTTATTTTTGCATTTTTTGGGCGTTTTCGGCCAATAATGCTTTTATTTTGCAAAATTACGTTAACAATAAACCGAAAAACTTTTTAATTGTGTCGGAAATTTCATTATTTTTGCCTTTTTTGAGCGTTTTTAGCAAGTTTTTCAATCATACCTACTGGGCAAAATTACATCAAAAACAAGTAAAAAAACATTAAATTAGCTTAAAATTTCAGCCAGAAACTGAATCTTTTGCAGAATTATTTCAAAGATAAATCCAAAAACCCTTTATTTTCGTCATTCTGTCAAAAATTACATCATTTTTGCCTTTTTTGAGGGTTTTGACATGTTTTTCAGCTAGAGACGCAATTATTTCGAAAAATTACGTCAAAAATAAACCGTAAAATTATTTAATTGTGTCGAAAATAGCATTTTTCGAGCATTTGTGGCATGTTTTTCAACCGCAAATGTAATTATTGTACAAAATTACGTTAAAACATTTAATTAGGTCAAAAATTTTGCCTTTTTCATCGTTTTTGCACGTTTACCAGCCAGAAACTAAGCGTTTTTGGACAATAATACCTTTATTTTGCAAAATTACGTTAACAATAAACAGCAAACCTTTTAATTTGTGTCGAAAATTTCATTACTTTTGCGTTTTTCAAAGACTTTTAGCACATTTTTCAGTCAGAAAAGCAGTTATAAAGCAAAATTAAGTCAAAAATGAGTTCCAAAACGACTCCATTCTGTCAAAAATTACATCATTTTTGCATTGTTGCCTTTTTCGAGCAATTTTATATAATTTTTTAGCTAGGAATTGAATTATTTTGCAGTATTATTTCAAAAATGAAGTATTTTTTTCTTTTTTGAGCGTTTTTCGGCACTAATTCTTTTATTTTGCAAAATTACCATAATAATAAACCGAAAAATCTTTTAATTGTGGTGGAAATTGCTTTTTCGAGCATTTGTGTCACGTTTTTGAACCGGAAATGTAATTATTGTGCAAAATTACGTTAAAAATACGTCGAAAAATCATTTAATTAGATCGAAAATTTTGTGTTTTTTTTTCACAGTTTTTGCACGTTTTCCAGCCTTTTACATATTTTTTTAGCTAGAAATTGAACTAATTTGGAGTTTTATTTCAAAAATTACCTTTTTTGAACGTTTTTCGGTCAACAATGCATTTATTTTGCAAAATTACAATAAATCCAAAAACCTTTAATTTTGGTCAAAAATTACATTATTTTGCTTTTTTTGCTTTTTTTGAAGGTTTATATCTCTCATGTCTCAAGAATCAAAATTATGGAAACTGTTGTAATTCAGAAATTAAATTACAATGATCTACAAAGTTTTTTTTAAACCAAAAAAAATTCGTCGAAATCCGACAAAGAATGCCAAAAATATTGTAAAATCGCAAAATTTTAGTTGTCTGGTTAATTTTGGCTAATTAACTATGATTTTTTTGAACGTTTTTTTAAAGTTTCAGTGTTAGGCGAGCGTTCCTTTCCGATTTCAGCATACGAATTGTGCTAAATCCCTGCTTCAGTTTCTGAATAAGTAAAAAAAGCCTAGACCTTGGCTTTAGCGAAAGAAGCAGGTAAAAGGTCCAGAGGGAGATTCTCTCATGTAATTTTTCTTCTTACGTTAGCTTTAATGGTGGGGTCTGTCACGACCTAGCCTGGAATCCCTTTAAAACTTGCGGAAAGCTTGGTGTATTTCAGATCGATATTTCTCAGCATCTTGCGAGGAAATACAATTTGTGGTGGCGTGTTTCCGAGAGACACTAAAAAGCTGTAATAAAGTCTAATAGCGAATAATACGATGAGATATAACATTTTTGGATGTGTTTTGATGGAGGTTATTTGTTGCAGCAAGACTGCCCAAATGGACGTTTGACCCCAGCTAAATTCGTAGACATGTACAAGATGTTCTTCCCATCTGGAAATGCCGAAGAATTCTGCGATCATGTTTTTAGAACTTTTGATATGGACAAAAATGGCTACATCGACTTTAAGGTAAGACGCAAAAACGGTTTTTTATTTATTAAAATCGGGAAAAGAAAGTTTTAAAAGCATTACCTCGTTAACTTATCTCCGTTTTCAAGCTAAAATGATTTTATAAATAGCAGGATGTTTCTAACCACTTTGTAACCAAACTCCGAATATACAGTTTAGTTTGTGGTTATTCTCTACAAACAGCGCGCGTCAGGTTTCGTTTATTTTCCGAATTTCTTACAGTTTCTAGACGGAAGCTTTTGTTTATTTGTGAGAATAGTCAATTTTTTCACAGAAAACTTATTTACTTAAATAAAATGAAAGCAGTTTCAAATTTTTATATCCACTCAAGATCAAAACAACATTGAATTAAATATAAAAAATGTAATAACTTTAATATTATTATAAAAAAATCGAAAAAATAATGATAATAATTTAAAGAGAGCTCTATAATACTAACTAGTGATTTGTTTGCTATTTTATTTAATTCTAAGAACTCTAATCTTTCTTTTTTTTATGCAAATACTTCACTCTGCAAATTTTACTAACAGTTGATAGTGTAAACAATATAAATAGATCATCATTTACAATGTTTACATTATCGTTTGAAAAGCAAAAGAAATGATTACTTCCATTGAATAATATTGTTTTTAATAATATTACGAGTAAAAGAGTGCGAAAATTGCATCAACGGTTTTAAAAGTAATTAAAGAATGTGTTTTATTAGCGAGAAAAATTTAATTAACGTATTATGTGCTGGCTGGGTCATATTCGATCCGTTATCTAACATTTTTCAACAAGTGTCAGTTCGTGCTAGGTGGCTTAAAATAGTTTTGAGGTGGGAATAAAAGGAAGAAAAACTTGAAATTACTACACAAACTGCAAATAACAGTAAAGTTTCAAGTTTTAAGTGAAAAAAAATACTAAATTTAAAAATTATTGTAGGGCTTGCAGAAATTTAGTCATTGCACGGCCATACGAATTTGTCGCGTCGACGATACTTAAAATCTAAAATTTGGATAAGAAATGAATTTATGCAATTGGTACCGCCAAATAAACTACAATAATTTATTCACTAGTAGATAAAGTAAAAAATAAACATTATCATTTAGAATTAAATACTCGTAACATTATTAATCATAACAATTCTGTGAATTTTTTTTTCACTGTTACATTATTTATTAATTTATTTTCCAAANTTTTTGGCTGTTACATTATTTATTAATTTATTTTCGAAATATTAAAATTTTTATGCTTAGAAATAAATGAGTTAAAAAGAAGATATAGGAATAAAAATACAAAGAAATGAAACATTTTTTAATAAACACTGCTTCAAATCTTGGTTTTTTGCTTTCAAAAGTAAAAAATTTTTTTTTTGACACAATTAACCTTCCAAAAACAATTTTACTAGATTTTATGTAAAAAAAATGTGATTTTTAAATAAGTATTTGTTTTTTTTTTTTTGGTCAGAATAAAGGCAAGAAATAAAATTAATGTTGAAAAAAAAATAAAATACATATAGTGAGTCAAGTTTTATCTGGACACCTCAAATCACCTTTTTCTGTTTTTTTTTTATTTTTAATTGAAACATATTTCTTTAATTTGTCTTTTTCAAATATATACTTATATTTATTTTTGTTGCTTTATCGTCTTTTTTAGTTAAATTTTTAGTAAAAAAGTGAAGTTTGCATCAGGATTTTCAGGATCCCAGAAACTGTACATTTTAAAGAAGCTTAAGTTTTTATTGAGTTTTAGAAGCATAAGAATCAGAGAAACGCAGAGGTTTTTGGAAAAAAAAAATTGAAAAGTTTCAGGAATGTCAGGAATACGCATAAAGGAAGGAGCCAATATAATAAAAAAATCTGTTTAATTCTCAAATAATACGAAAAATTGTAACTTATAAAATAAAACTCTTTTGAGTTTAGCCTTTTTAGGCTAAAGGTTTTTTTACAAACTTTAAAGAAAAAATCTATACTCTATTACTCGTGGCATTCTAAAAGAAAAAATGTCTTATAGCAGCTATTAACAGTTTGGTGTTTTTAACTTTTTGTTTTTTTATACGTAGTTTTGAAGCACTTTAAATAACATTTGTCGAGCTTTCTTCAATAATTTTGTGAGTGTGTTTTTAGAGCTCTACTTTTATTTGATAGTAGATTTTATCACCATAGAATTTTGATGTTTGAAGTAATTAAATGTGTCTGCGTGTACGAAAAACGTTCAATGTACAATAAGTAGAGTTAATTAGTGTTGCTGATAGAATCAATAGTCCTAGTCCGAAAATAGTTCGACCATTGTTGTTGTGTATAAACGTCACAAGGAGAAAGATGAATTGCCTTTTTTCATACAGAGTTTTATCTAAAATTTTTTGGTCATGTGGTTGCAATTAATCTAAAGTTTTTAGCAATTTTACGCAACATTTTATGGATTATAGAAAATAGAGACAAAATTTGTGTTGTATTTTTATTATTAACAATGTCAAGCAATCCAAACTCTAATTGCGACTAGCACGCTTTTAAACTCCTTGCAATTACTATTATTTTATAAATATTGTTTTTGGGGTAAAGTGAAGTAACTACTAATTTATCGATTTGGAATTTTTCCTCCTTGAAACTTTGAAAGTAGTAGCAATTTTGTAGTCTTTTAATATTTAAAAAAGACAGTGTGATTTATCACGGTTTATTATTTTATCACATTGAACATAATAAATAAATGTACAAGATACTCAGCTAAGAATCTTGCTTAAATCAACAGAGAATTTCTCTCCAGTTATAGGTATCTTATTTGGAGTAGAAAAATGTAAAATTCTAACATTTGATAAAGAACATTTTAAAAACTTAAATTATTTGACTGAAAATTGTGAATATTTAGAGCTCTAATAATGGTGATTTGTATAAATACTCGCGCCCCAGAGAAAAATTTCAAGCAAGGTAAGATGAAAAAAATGGTTAAAAAATTTTAATACTCACCTTAATAATTAAGACTAAGAGTTTTATTTTTATTTAGTAAAGTGTCTTTTAGATTGTAAAAAATAATGTTTTAAAAAAAATTAAAAATTTATTAAAGCTATGCTTAAATTTAAAAAAATGCCAATTGAGATGTTTCAAAACATCGTGCTACAAAAGACAGTTGGGGAGACTAAGAAAGTGTCAATTAATTTAATTTAATTTTTCAATTAATTTAGGTTACAGCTTCCTTGTTTTCTGTTTTCTACCCTGTAACAAAAAAACTTGTTTTTTTTTACAATTATCTAGTAAAAGTACAAAAAATTTGTCAATAAAATAACATATAAAATAACATTGAACAGAGTTACAATTTAGAATACAGCTTCCTTGTTTCCTCTTCTAATAGTTAATGTTAATGTCCTTTAACTCTTAGTCCTTAATTACCACGTTTGGACCTTAACATCGTTAAAATTTTATTTTACTCAAATTTATGACTGAAAATAATGTGATTGTGAAAAAAATAGCATACAAATCTCGGTGGTTGGCATTACCCTTTGTGTTTTTTTTTTAATTTTTATTACATTGCTTATTGTATTTTTTTTAAACCGTTTTATTTTATTTAAAAATAAGAAAGTTTAGCTTAATAACGTTGTCATAAAAATCTACATCCAAAAACGCTATTAAAAAAAAACAAGTTTGTATTGTAACTTATTTTTCAGACACGCTGTATAGTTGAAAATAATTTGAGGTGATGGACTAGATTAGTATCTATCAATGTCCTATATAATTTTTTTTTAAATAATAATAAAACAATGTTAACGTTAATGCTTGATTCAGAAGCGGGGGAAGTGGTCTTTAGATGTTATACATGGAATGGCAGTCTCCTAAGGCCAGTGTAAATTTTTAACATTGCCATTTATATGCAGGAATTCCTGTTGGCGATCGATGTGACGTCGAGCGGCACTCCAGAAGAAAAACTAAAATGGGCTTTTCGTATGTACGATGTGGATGGGAATGGTGTTATAGACATCCAGGAAATGACTAAAATCGTTCAGGTGAGTAGGATGTTGGAATGGTGTAGATATGCATATCCTCATGTTTTCATTCATGGAATTTTAATCATGTCTATGTATACAGGGTGATTGAAACAGGCGCGTCCTTTCTTATTGAAACATTGTGACCATCATTCCAAAAATAGATTCTTTTTAAAATTTAAACAGTTTGTCTAACAGCACAAAGCGGCAATATTGCACAAATTTCTTTTACTAAAAAACTATTTCACTCAGGTATTTTTCGTATCTAGGAAACCTTTTTGACTTTAATCGTTCAAATTTCACAGAACAAACAACATTGAAAATTGATTTTTTTGTTGCTACCGTTTCCAATAATTGAATATTACTTGGACATTTTCTGTATCCTAGGATATTTGCAATGTTGCACCATTGATAAATTTTCTTTGGAGCCAAGAAATGGTATCCTAACATCTTCAATAAAGCTTATTTCAATAGACTTTTTACACATTTTTTTTTAAGGACACCGTCAACTGTATCAAAATCTAGACTTTAAAAATGAAATTATTTTAATACTGTTAATTATATAGATTTCTTTTTTCTAAAAAGAAATATATATCTTACTGAATTCGTCGTATTTCAATTGAATAAATTTTTTGGAGGTCTTAGCACTTTCTCAATTTTAAAAATTAACCCAAACTTTAGCACTTAAATAATTTATATGTAATTTCTGGCTTTGTGATTAAAAATCTCCAAAATTGAAGAGTCCTTAAAAGATAGTAGTTTTTAGCTCTTAATATAGCTACTGGCAAATTTATTTTGATTTTTTTAAGTTTTTTTACAGTGT